TTCATTTTATTATATACATTATTTCTATGGGCGACATCTAATACGGGATTAATAACTATTGCAGTTTCATGTATACGATTTTGGAATCGCATTTGGTTCAGCATTTCAAAATTGTAGTCCCTTTCCGGTTTGTAAATAAAATATATTTTATTTAAATCTTCATTAAACGTAACTTTCTTCGTTATTTTCTTCATCTTTGTGGGAGGGTTGAGCTTTTTTTAGATAAAATTAGTCAGGTCTATAGCGTTTGTGTAGGAACCAATGTTAAAAACGTGCTGTTTGTAGATAGTAAAAGCCACAAGCTGTTTCTCTTTATCTATATATTTTTAACGTATATTCAACAATCTATTAGTTACAATCATTCTAATAATAAGCGTCTGTGTGATTCGAAAAAAAAAAAATGATTTTAGAGAGGTCAGTCTAATGACTAGACCTTTGGTATGGAGCAAACATAACATTCCATTAATATGTTAACTACATATACTTGACATTTACAAACAATACACATAATCTATAATTTTTACACAAATCCGGTGAGTTAGAACACTTATTTATAAATCAGATCCGTTTTAGTCTTTGAGTTTGTTGACTGTTATCAAGCAAGCTTATTGTCAGGGCATTTGGATGGTTTACCAGACGTTTTAGGTACCAAAACCTACACAGAACGAGTACTTTACTGATCGTTAGTATTTCTAGATCACAATAATATCTTTTGTTTGATACGAAGCATGATGCGTCTGTTATAGAACGTAAAACTTTAAATTGAAATCTTTCCATTATGGCTCCCATAGGTCCAGACCGGTGTAAGTATTGAAAACTTACAGTTTGTTATGAAATGGACAATTTTGATGTCCTGCCCAGTATCCAATAATGTTTACGAAATTTTATACAAATAATATGTTGCGCTTTGGATTCATTGATCTTAATGAGTCATCTCTTTGTCTACTTTTCAATGTCCCTAATATACCTTTGAAGAGATTCTATAGCTGTTGCAGAATTATTATCTGTAACTAACATAGCAGTGTTATGTCGTGCGTAAATGTAATGTAATGTCATGCGTCTTCATATATATGGTCATTGTACACTACACCATTCACTATTTTAAAGCACATTAAGGCTCATTAAGCTGAAAGAAATGAAACAGGATATATTTTATTTTAATTTATTATGGATGTCGAAACATTACATTGTAATTCATTATTCCATGATTAATACATTTACATTTTAAAAAAAGTCGTTCAGATTCATCGTTGGAGCAGAATGCTGTGAATTGGTTATTTTTCTTTACATGTTCCATAAGTTTGTATGCGTATCCTTTTCTCCGATACTTTGGTAATATATATATATATATATGTAATCTAATACTCTCGGTGCATCATGATGTCCTAGTGGATCAAAGTCGCATTTTGATAATAGAACGAACGATGCTGGTTCTCCGCTGACATATAGGATATAGCAGGTAACTTTCATGCTTTTCATCCATACAGCTCAATTTTTTCCATCATACTCCGCCGAATGATTGATTGATACTGATTTTGCATTATTCGTTCAATTATGTATCATCTGTCAATTTTACAGGAGTGGGGAGGACCTCAGATATTACGTTTACATACCGATTAAAACTAATAATTATAAAACACAATACCAACCTACAAAACATAATATTGCCGTAGATAAAATATAGTATATTCACCATTTGTATTCTCTAATTTTGTATCTCACCTGAATTGTCGTAAATTAGTATGCAACTCACCATTTGTATTCTCTAATTTTGTATATTACCCGAATTGTCGTAAATTAGTATACAGCTCACCATTTGTATTCTATAATTTTTATATTACTCGAACTACCGTAGATACGCATATACAGAGAAGATTATATTGAGGATGTTTGCTGGGTTGGTCATACTGTAAGAATAATATATGTTCTTTGATTCATGTTCTATTTCTAGTAATACCTCACACGTTGTTGTATGTTATATCCTTTTCAACATCACCTTTCGCATTGTTTCACGAGAGAGAGAGAGAGAGAGAGAGAGAGAGAGAGAGAGGCTGTGTGTCTTTTTTACGATGTCAGGTGCTAGATGTGGTCGACAGGTGGCGCGAGGAGACGATGAACTGTATTATACGTGGAATCCCATTCAAACTATGTTCAATAGCAACAAAGATATGATTTAGAGCCGTTTTCTCAATGTTGTCATGTTTGTTTCCCTGTTAGCCTCACTTTCCTCAAATGTCTATTATGCTAAACAAAGATCCGATATAGCGGCGTTTTAGACATTGTCTTGTATCTTAACATATTTCCCGTCACCTCCCCTTTTCATTTAACATGTTACACGTAGTACTCTGACTAATAACAACAGAGATACGACATAGCGTCGTTTGGCACGGTCTTTGCGTCTGCTTTTTGTCTTAACATATTCCACCTCCCTTTCCATTACTACCTCTCACGTTGAGCCGTTTGGACGTTACAAGCTAGCGTCGATGTCTTTGCGTTTTATTTTAACATATTCGTTACCACCTCCCCGTTCCAACAATACCTCACACGTTGTTGTACGTTGAGTAGTTCAGACGTTGCAAGCTTAGTGTCCTTTTGGTATTGTCTTTTGCGTTTTGTTTTTATCTAAACATATTCGTTACCACCTTCACGTTCCACAGAGCCCTCGTACGTTGTTGTACGTTGAGCCGTTTGAATGTTACAAGCTTAGTGTCCTTTTGGTATTGTCTTTTGCGTTTTGTTTTTATCTAAACATATTCGTTACCCTCTCCCCTTTCCATCGATACCTCACACGTCATGATCCGACGAGCCGTTTTACCCCCACCACAAAATGAGACAAAAATGACCAGAATGAACCTTAGCGATTTCCCATGTTAATTTCCATAAGAGTTGGCCCCGAACCGGTGCTGCCCTTTTGTGCCCACGGTGCCCACACATGTGTATTGTGGTATAAAAACAAACAAATATTTAAAACTTTATAAAAGTGTCGTCAACATTTAAATTCTGGCAGAACGTTTTCAATCTGAACAGATCATCCTCAGTGCCTTGTGTATTTGTTGCTAACAGTAAAGTTGTCTATAAGACCTCCATGTATGGATTTACAGTATTCCAAATTTTACATTTAATAATGTTTTGACTCCAGGTCGATGACAATGGATATATTTTTAAAATTACTTTAGGGACTACATGTCTCCCTGCTCGAATATTAGCACGTGGTACTTGTCAGTTGAAACGACACATACCAACTGAAGTGTTTTAACTTCTGTGTTTTTTTAAACGATGGTATACAGCCAATTACGGGTTTTTTCCATTAATTTTAAAATAAAAAGAGTATACATAAGTATAAGGATTGCCAACGAACGTATTAGAGAAATAATGGGAATCAAACGAACAATCACAGATGACCTAACAACAAATCAACTTATCTGGTTCGGACATATACAAAGAATGGATGAATAACAAATATCAAAAAAAATATCGAAATGGCACCCAGAAGAAAAGAAAAAACGAGCTAGACCAAGAAAAAGTTGGAACGAAGGAATAAATAAAGAACTGAGAGAGAGGGTCATAGAAGAAGACCTATGGAACAACCAGACTAAGTGGCGATTGGAAGTCAGAAAACGGCGGAGAACGTTATAAACTGACAAGTAATAGTAGTAGTATTATTATCTCGATAGGTTGTATATTTAACTTAACAACCTTATCCTCTTCCAGAAAAAACTTGCTATAAGGATAGTAAAAATTTTAGATAAACTCAAACACAAGCCCTCCAAAAGAAACAGTTTAAAACTAGACATTTCATGAAGTCTATGTTAAAATAAGTACATAACAAAATTAAAACGAACCAAAAGGACAGAAAGACATTAAAATCAATTTACGCCTCTAAACGCTTAAAACAGATTTCAATATTCTTCGTGAAAAGATTATCACGTTAAGTGAACACACTTATTTGTCACAAAGAGAAATCGCAAGACCGTGTGGAGTGAGTCGGGGGTAGTACGTAAGATTTTAAAGCGTAAACGAGAAACGGGATCAATGGATGTAAAAAGGATAGGAAAATGGGGAAGAGAGAGAAAAACAACACCCGCAGATAAAAGATTTTTACTTCGAAAGAGCAAATTGGACCCAAGAAAAACAAGTTACGAGCTCAGCAAGATCTAGCAGCATCAGGTATAGTGATTCATAACTCAATTGCTAGTAGGGCAATGTGTCCACAGAAAAAATCAGGTTCTTACTGAACGAATGAAGTAACAAAGGCTATTGTGAGCCAAAAAATACTCTAATTGGACTGCAGACGACTGAAGAAAAGTCGTATTTACAGACGAAACTCACTTTATAGTTCAGAGACAGCGGTAGAAATTTGTTCAGGAAGTCTGACAATAAAAACTTTACACCATCTCATATTGATCAAACCGTAAAATATTAAGTCAAAAAAATATTTGGGGATGTTTTTCATACATGCAAGTTAGATCTTTGGTACTAATCTAAGGCATCATGAACAGACAAAAATACAAATTCATGGTGAAACAGCGTTTGGACACAGAACTCCAAAAATGTCAGCCTCAAGAAGAAGCGACTTCAGCACGACTCTCCTCCTTGTTACAAGTTGAAGCAAATGATGAAATTTTTCAAAAAATAAAAAGACTAATGTTTTAGATTGACCGGTAATTCGCGAGACCTCCACCCAAGTAAAAATAAAAATGATAGAAGCGGTCATTCAGGTTTGGTTTCGACGGAAACATGTCCCCCTTTGCAGCCAAAGGGGAACATTTTTCCTACTAAATAATGTAAGTTTACCTTTATAGTTTTGTCAAAATATAATTTTTTTCTAAGTAAACTGTTTTTTCATTAAAATAGTCTACAATTCTATTAATTCGCACAGTATAACCTATAATAACATATATTACGGACATGACACAAAGGTTGATCTCATGTACATAAAAATTAACTCTATAGATACTTAAATGAATAATAAATTTAAATAATTGTGATTAAATTCTTACTTTGATTTGGTTTCACCTATTCCAGTAGCATGAATCTCAATAACCTTCATATTCTCGTTTATCTTCGAACACTTACCAGCAGCTTCATGTCTTCCATGATCGCTATCTTCTAATTCAAAGTAATAGTCAGGTAACAAACTTTGGCCCGTAATAGATAATTCCATATCTTTTAGATCTGGATACAAGGAGCTAATTTTGGATTTAAGTTTATAATAATATTGTGAAGCTACTGCTGGAGTAAAAATTATTTGAAATACTGTGGAAGTAGAAGGCTGAATCTCAGTCTTTTGAGGAATGATTTGAAAGGGTTGATCGTAGTGCTGTTTAACAAAAGGCTTTACACGCAATCCTTGCTCAGCAGGGTTATCTTGACAATCTATACAATTATAACATAATTGATTATAACTATAAACAATACATTGAACACAATTTAGCATATTTGGAATTTAGTATATTGAAAATTGGAAGATATGACCAAGAACTAGAAATATTGAGGTAGATCTGTTTACGTATTAAGATCAAGTACTATTAACCAGATTAAAACGAATATTAAACCTATGTCTAATCCTATAAAAGAGACTAAATTTAGTGCAAAGTAACCCTAATATCTTCCATATTTATAACAGTAGTAAGGATCTTAACTGCTGTGGAGGGTCGAGTGTAACATTTCACTTCCATATCATCATGAGAGACTTTCTAAAGATATTCGAAATCTCATCAAACACTCAATTGAAAACATCCACATTTTAAAGTACCCCATAATTTGGGCCAGTGTATATCTAATTCCAAACATCCCATCAATTATATGAACCGTAGTGGTGTTTATAAACTATTTAGATTGTGATGCCACCTATATAGAAATAACTTGTAGATCACTGTTTTCATGCTCTTTAGAGCACACAAAAAGAGAAACCACTTCCATTTTTTCTCAACATTAGAAAAACATAGACACACCTTTAATATCCCAGACGACGTATCTCTTATTCACAATATTCCCCAAAAAAGTTTCTAAAATTTGACTTATATGAAGATCTTGAAATTATCAAAGAAAAGCAGAGAAGTTCAAACTGTGTTAATCGCCATGTCTCATTCCATCGAGATTTTCTACCTCTCCGCCGCCAACTATTCTTATTATTCATATCCTCTACATTTTCTTTTACACTTAACTCGCATTAATCTTTCTTCTTGTGCCATAAATTCATCTTTCTCCGTCCACACCAAGCCACTCTTTCTAAATGCATTTAATCCTTCCATCACTCCTAATCTTTTTTTCAGGTTTTTTAAACTTCCCAGATAATTTCATGGTCAATCTAAAGCCAAGCCAAACATCAGATCTCCTTTTTTTTATCATTTAAAATACTACACTTTGTTAACATAACTGCTCTAACTAAAATCACCAACCTCCCTTAAGTTTCCTTTAAAGTATACTTCTCTTCCCTTATCACACGTCTCGAATGTGCTTTTCAGATATTCTGCAAAACGTTCACTTTTTATTACTTTACTTTTGGTCCAGCTACCTTTTTCTTTTCTTAATAGAAGATTATGAATAATAGGTTTTTTAGGAATTTAAGTCACTTTCGATAGCAAATAATTAGTGGTTTTATCAGTTAGGTAGACTACAATGGATTCATTTTGTATTCTTGTCATTTCCACTTTTAATCTGCTCCATATTAGCATCAAGCTTTTTTTTGTGTTTATCGCAAAAAAAAACAATTGATCATCGATAACAATTCTTCTTTGAAGCTTATTCAGTTAGCTTTTCTATTGACTAATCTAGATTATTACTATTTTTCTATTAAGTTAACGAAAACGCTTTACAGAAACAAGTCTTACTTAGCAGAAAATCATGTAACAATATTGTTTTTGTAGTACGGCAAATAAAAGAGAAATCTAAAGAATACAATAAACTAGCCTACTTACGTTTTGTAGACTTTAAAAGGCCTTTAACAAAGTAAGAATATTGAATGTAATACACCTACTATAATAGCATAGCAGACAAATATCATTGGATATTATAAATACACACAACCAAACTTATATGGAATCACTAATTATTTCCGATTTTGTAAAGTATTATTAATTTTTTTTAAAGAAAAATGAACTACATTTTATACTAAACCAGTTTAATTACTATAAAAAAAAAAAACAATCAAAAAATGTTACAAATGCTTGAAATTAACAAAAACGCAAAAAAAAACACGAACAAGTAAAAACATTGCAATGGTTAACTAAAGAAAGATACAGTCTTGTTGTTCATTTTAATAATCAGCGTTGGCACCTCTAGCTCTAATACAAGCTTCAATCCTACGAGAAATGCTTCTAATCAAATCGTCAACTTGTTCTTGAGGAAAGTTTGCCCAGTCTTCTAGAGCGGCTTGAATGAGCTGATCCGCATTACCTAGATTATCCATTCGAGCTCTAATCCTTCTTTTAATGAGGTTCCACACATGCTCAATGGGATCAATATCAGCTGAGCAGGCAGGCCAGCTCAGAACAGTGACATCTTTAGTTTCCAGAAAGTATGTGGCAACTTTGCTCGTATGTGGAGGGGCATTATTATACATGAAAATGAAAATATTTCCCACTGCACCTCGCCATAGCCTAACTATGGGTTCTAGTACCAAATCGACATACCGGCGATCCGTTAAACTTTGCCGTAAGGGACGCAAAGATGTTTTTTCTCCCATCATAATACCTCTCCAAAACATTACAGTTTCTCCTTTATATTTTGAAACGAACCTGGCAGTTTGCAGTCTAGCTTGTCTGCCTCAACCTCTTAAAACCCGAATTTGACGGTCATCTGATCTCAGGCCAATTCTGGTTTCAATCTGAAAAAAGGACATTTTGCCAATCTTCATTTGTCCGGTTCTGGTGTTCCAGACACCAATTCAGCCAATCAATTGTGTTCTGTTTGGATAACTCGGGGACCCTCAACTGCTTCCTGCTAAATAAATTTTGAAAACGAAGTCTCTTTTGTACTGTTTCAACTGAAATGTCAATACCTGTAGTCTGCAAAAGTTGCTTTTGAAGCTCTGGATGAGAAAAGGTTGGATTTCTTCTAGCTATTTGACATAAAAACCGGTCTTGTCGATTACTAGTTACTCTACGACGACGTTTTCTACGTTTTCAATGTGTACTTGATCAGATTTTATTAATTATTAATCGTATTTCCAACAAAACCTTTATCTGATATCTGCAAAAAAAGTTGTCATACTTTTTTTATTATTAGTAAGAAATACTGGGTAATTTCATATAAGTTTGGTTGTGTGTATAATAGAAGATGTATATAAAAAAAAACAGGATCGAAGGAAAAGTTTAAACAGAATAGATAGACATTACAACTGGAATTAGATAAGGAGATTCATTTCAGAGAAAGCTACTATTTGGGTGGGATAGAAGGTGACGTCGAATGTACCCATAAACGATGTGCATTTCCAAAAGGAGAAATTCCTTAATAAAGCTATCGAAAGAATATTTGATGGATGAAGCAGTTTGGTCAGGTTGATTAATTTATAAATAAGATAATGACTGTAATAATATATGATAATAATAATAGACTGAAAATTTCTGTCTCTTTGAGTAATTTGACACTGAAACTTGGCTATAATCAGAAAGAGGAAAAAATAACTAATTAATAAATTTCTAATTTAAAACTTGGTTAGTCATTGAATAGTACTTATAAAAAGTGTATATGTGCTAACCCTTGTCTAAATTCTAAACTTACTTTTCAAAGTAACTTCATTCTCCCCAACGGTTCGTATTATTTTTCGATAACGTATTAACACATGCTAATGTCCATTCCAGATTTAAAGGAACTAGACCACCATTCAAGACTTCAAATGAAAGATTACTTTTCTGCAATTAACAAAATAGTATCATAAAAGTTGTGTTCTCATAAGGAGAATAGTATATAAGCCACAAATCATTAATATAAACTTTGTTTACGTTTATATAAAAACATTTAACCGATTTTTCAAGAATGTGATCTTACAGTGAAGAAACAAAACATGTATGTTTTTCGTGGATTCAGAATCGTATCTCGGATTTGTAATCAATAAAGGGAGCTAGCATAGAAGTCAACATAAAATTCGCCCCAATAAGGAAATCCCAGAACCTACGAATATGACACAACTGAAATCATTTTTGGAAAGTATATTATTATAATGTATTCATTCCAAATCTTCCAAACATTGTTCATTGTTTATATAAAATTTTAAAATGTTGTTTGATATTGGGATGAGGAATGTCAATTAACTTTTGATATTTTTAAACAAATGTTAGCTCTAGTATTAACCCATTATTGTCCAACTCTAGAATTAAATTTAACGTTTAATAGTTCAGATTATGGGATCGGAGCTAATCTCTTGGAATTTTAGAGATGGTAATGAAAAACCAATATATTTTGCTGTTTTGCTAGCTTAATAATGCCGAAAAGGCTAATTTGACTTTAGATAAAGAAGCAACCGGTACAGTATTGGAACTCAAACGTTTTGAAAGTGTCACACCGGTTACGGCGGCCAATATATTGAAGGGATAGGCAGTATTTTAATATATAATATGTGCGTACATAGAAAATTGTAGCAAACTTTATTAATAGACCTTGACCTTTAAATAAATCGATAAGGCTAGATTATACTAGGTGTAAGTTTACGTTTAAATTATATGCAGAAATTGAAGACAAGAAAGAAAATTAATTCGATTCTGTTTCGTATAATTAAATTTGTTATGGTTTAGATCAACAAAGGTTGATTTATAAATTAAAACCTACTTTTTAAACGGCAATGAAATACCTATTGAAAATGGCTTTTTGTTGTGAGTACTTAAATATGAGGAAGTAAAATACGGAATAAATTACTGAAAAAACTGGATTCAGCCATTTTGGTACAGTTAGGATAAAATTATAAAACCTAGATATTAATATAAAACCTAGATATTATTTGGTGGCCACGATTTAATAGAGAGATTGAAAATCTAAGCAGGGTTGTGTTCCTTGTCAGAACATGCAGGCAGATCATTCTATGGTTCCGCTGCGTAGCTGGCGTATTCCTCAAACTGTTTGATCTAATTTTTGTTTTTTTATTTCCCTTAATGTTGAATTTTCTTATAATTTTGGATCCATTTTCGAAATGGGTATACAGAAAAAGAGGTTAAGATTGAAACAAACCTTTCAAAGATGAAGGTGAAAATGTTTTTTAAGCCCAAACATTCTGTTAAAAATAAAATTTTTTTTAAATTCTATACCTTACTACCTTTTCAAACAAAGCGATTGGTGTTAGCCGCGCTAACGAAACACCGGTGGCTAACACCGATTATAATCACATCAGCTTAAACATGAATCTCCTTTAAATAACAATAACGACAAATAAAATGTTAATGATTCGACGGCGACGCACGATGAGGAGACAAATAACAAAATGGTGATATCGAAATTTGAAAAATATGTCTCAAATTTTGATACTGTTTGAACTTCAAATTACACGCCAACTAGTAAAAAATTGGCACATTGTAAATGTCAAAATAAATAATGTCAGAATAAATTGTTCCTTTCAAGTTGACAAACACGTTTTTCATTCGGTCAAAGTTTTAATTAATTTATTCAAGTTTATTTCAACAAGAAGTTCATAACCAGCGCAAATATACAGTCCAACCTTCATGGTTTCTTCTAATCCCTTAATGGTTTGGTCCTTCGAGCCGGATTTGGTTATGAACAAGAAAAATATAATTCGTAATTTCAAGTAATGGTTTGGTTTTTCTACACAGGATTTGGTTATTAGCAAGAAAAATATAATTAATAATTTCAAATAATCAACCTAAATTTGGCGTTCATACATCGAGAAAGCAAGTATTGTTGGTCCATCAAAATATTTAACAGTTCTCTTAGTAACGGAAATCAACATTTAGCTGCTCAACTCGTTTGGATCGCCCCATTCCAGTTCCTAACGGTAACACCTACTTTCTTCAGTGCTGCGGTAAATGCAATTTAAACCCCTCTAAGAAGATAACGGTCTGGTGCTGTTAAAATACGAAGTATTACGAAGTCATACGAAGTAATATCCTTTTTTAACTTTTCTATATTATAATTTTCTTTATTTTTCATTCAATATAATTTATTATTCCTAATATTTGACTTGATACTGATAAAATGTCAATTGCAATTCTACGTAGAAAACGGTCAGTAATCAAAACAAAATTAACAAATTTTAATAATTATTTAGATGAAATAAAAGTTTTAGACGAGCAGAATCTTCCAGTGGCGGAGTTAGAAATACGTCTTTCTAAAATAAATAATTTAATAGAAACATTTGAAAATATTCAAGATGAAATCGACTGTCTGGAAGATTCTGTATCTGAAAATGATATTAGTTCAAGGGTAGAGTTTGAAAATAGTTTTTATTTTGCAGTAGCATTAGCAAAAGTACTTATATCAAAAGCTGTCATTGAAAAATCATCTGAAATGTCAAATAATTCAAGTCAAAATTGTTCAAATAATGGTAACCATAGCAACATTAAATTACCTACAATAGAGTTGCCTAAATTCTCAGGCCACTTTGAAAACTGGCTAGACTTTCATGACTCGTTTGAGTCTCTAATTATTAATAATACTAGTTTAAGTCAAATTCAAAAATTTTATTATTTAAAATCTGCCATTTCTGGCAATGCGGCAAAGGTTATCAGCTCGTTGCCACTTTCTTCTACAAATTTTAATCTTGCATGGCAGCTTATATGTGAAAGATATGCAAATCAAGATCTTTTAATCTACAGCCATGTAAAGGCAATATTCAACTTGCCAACAGTAAATAAAGAGAACTCTTTTCATTTAAGACTATTGATTGACAATATCTCAAGCAATTTACGTTCTTTAAAATTTCTTGGTGAGCCCACTGAATACTGGGGCACACTTTTAAACTATATAGTATGCAGTAAGTTGGATCCTATTTCTGAACGTGAGTGGGACTCAGTTAAGCCTCAACACCATACATTTGATCAACTCTTAGAGTTTTTAAAGAAAAGAGCTGACATATTAGAAAAATGGAGCATTCAAAATCAATGAAAATGAGAACTCACATAGAAAAACTAGCAAAAGTGTTAATAATAGGAGTGCAAAATCATTTGTTTCTACTGAATATGTATGTCAATTCTGTCAAAACTCACAAAAAATCTCAAATTGTCCAGAGTTTCTTAATTTATCTGTAAAGCAAAGAACCAATGAGGCAAAAGGTCGTAAATAATGTTTGAACTGTTTACATCTGGGGCATATAAATAAAAACTGTAAATACGGAAAATGTCAAAAATGTGGTATGAAGCATCATACACTACTTCATATTGAGTTTTCTAGTTCTTCACATGCTTTAAGTGTACCTTCAAATCCACAGCATAATTCTTCTTCTCAGAACATTGTGGAGCCTCCAAGTGCTTCCATCACTCTTTCTTCTTGTTTTTCTGATACTCAGGTATTGCTGTCAACAGTTACTCTTCTTATTAGTGATGCTCATGGCCGTTATCATTCGTGTAAGGCTATTTTCGATTCTGGTTCACAATCAAACTTTATTTCTGATGAACTATGCAACAAGTTGGGTATAAAAAGGGAACATGTGAATATTGCTGTTTCTGGTATCAGTCAGGCACCTTCACGTATAAGTTCTAAATGTTCTGTCTCTATTCAAGCAACTCATTCTAACTTCAATCTCTCAATCTCTTGTTTGGTAGTAGAAGAAATATGTAACTTAATTCCAAATTTTCCTTTAGATACCAACTTATTCAGTATACCTCAAAATGTTCGTCTAGCAGATCCAAATTTCTTTAAACCTTCTAAGATTGATCTCTTAATTGGTTCTGCTGTGTTTTGGGATCTTCTCCTAGTTGATCAAATTGGTTTAGGGCAAAATATGCCAGTTCTTCAAAAAACTAAATTTGGCTGGATTATTTCAGGTCCGTTGCCAATTTCTCGTACAAATAATATTAATTGTAATTGTTTACCAAAATGTAGAGTCACAGGAACTTTCTTGATTTTGGGAAATAGAGGAGTGTTCTACTTTAAGGCCTATATTGTCAGAGGAAGAACAGCTGTGTGAACAGCACTTCATCTCAACATTCAAAAGAAGTTCCAATGGCAGATTCATAGTTTCAATTCCTCTTAAAGAATCTCCGAACAAATTAGGTGACTTCAGTCAATCTGCTTCTAAACGGTTTTATAGTATAGAAAGAAGGTTTCAAAATAATTCCTCTCTTAAATCAACTTTCAACTTATGCAAATTTCATTCAAGAGTATATAGATTTAGGGCACATGTCAAAATGTCCTTTAATTTCTTCTTCAAGTATATCTTACTTTCTTCCACACCATGCAGTTCTAAAGGAAGATAGTTTGACTACTAAGCTTCGTGTCGTCTTTGATGGGTCTTCCACTTCTTCAACTGGATTATCATTAAATGATATTTAAATGGTTGGCCCTAATGTACAAAGCGACTTATTTTCAATACTTCTTCGCTTCAGGCAGCATTCATTTGTAGTTTCTGCGGATATAGTCAAAATGTACCGATAAGTTCTCATTGCTCCTGAACAGCGAAACCTTCAACAGATCTTATGACGATTCGATCAATCAGAAGGTTTATGTAAATATCAGCTAAATACAGTTACATATGGTACTGCAGCTGCTTCATTTCTTTCTACTAGATGTCTTCTACAACTTTCAATAGAATCTGCCTCAGAGTTTCCTGAAGCATCGAAGATAATATCTTTAGATTTCTATGTAGATGATCTTCTAACAGGATCTGATTCTTCTTCGGATCTTTCACGTTTATGCTCCGAAATTACTACCATTCTTGATCGTGGTTGTTTTCCACTTCGTAAATGGGTTTCTAATAATCCTAACATCATCGATAGTATCAATTCTTCTTCTATCTCTTCTACTGATTCTAACTTTCTTCTCATTGGAGAGATAACCAAAACGTTAGGTATTCTATGGTGTTATGAGTCAGATACCCTCATGTATCATATAAATGAACCCACATCTAATTTGGTAACTAAACGTTCAATCCTTTCTTCAATTGCACAAATCTACGATCCTTTGGGTCTTCTTGCACCTTGTGTAATAAAGGTAAAAATATTAATTCAAAAATTGTGGTTGGAGCAGTTGTATTGGGATCAGTCAGTACCAATTAGCATTTATACCGAATGGTCATCATTCAGACGCCAACTTTCACTTCTAAATGAACTTAAGATAGTCTGCAATTTCAAATGCAGAGAAGCTATTAGGCTTGAGTTGCACGGATTTTCTGATTCTTCAGAACAAGCTTATGGAGCTTGTATATATGTTCGTAGTGTTAATTCTTCTGGAGTTTGTTTGTGTCAATCTTCTTCGTGCAAAAAGCAAAGTTGCACCTCTTAAGAAAATAAGTCTTCCTCGACTAGAACTTTGTGGAGCTCTTATTCTTTCTAGGTTAGCCGCCAAGGTTATTGATTCATTGACTATTAAATTTCATGATATGTTTTTCTGGTCAGATTCAACTATAGTTCTTGGATGGATCAATACACCACCAAACGTTCTTAAAACATTTGTTGCAAACAGAGTGTCAGAAATTGTCTCCAATACCAATTCCAGCAAGTGGTTTCATGTTTGTACAAAGCAAAATCCTGCAAGCACCTACTCACTAGAGGCCTTGAACCTTCACTTCTACATTCTTCTAGCTTGTGGTGGGAAGGTCCCAGTTTTCTTTCTGTCGATCCCTTTGACACACCAATTCAACCTGTTCGATGCAATAAAGATCTACCTGAGTTAAAGATAGAATCCATATCAATGAAAATATCATCTACTATAGAATTACTTTCTTTTGAGCGTTTTTCCAATTTCAGCCGCTTGCAGCGCAGTTTAGCATATTGCTTTAGATTCATTCATAATGTAAAATGCTCGAATCATTCACTTAGACAATTTAGTCCTCTCTCGTTTGAAGAATTGCAAAATTCCGAAAGATATGTAGTTAAAGTAGTTCAAAATCAAGCCTTTAAGCTTGAAATTCAAACACTGTCATCAAAGGGAATTCTCCATACTAAGTCTAGCATAATTTCTTTACATCCTTTCATCGATAATGATCAATTTCATCTTCTTCGTGTAGGAGGTAGACTTAGAAATTTATTGTTTAGTCAGGATAAAAGACATCCTGTCTTACTTCCTTCCAGTCATCATGTTACCAAACTTATCTTTAAGGACGTTCACATTCGATCATTACATTGTGGTCCTCAGCAATTGTTATACCACATGAGAGAAACATTTTGGCCAATTCATGGTAAAAACAATGCAAAGGCTGTTGTTCGTAATTGTGTAACTTGTTTCAAGGCCCATCCTTCTTCTGTAGCCAATCCAATAATGAGTGATCTTCCTGCAGCCCGTGTACAGCCTTCATTTCCTTTCGCTGTTACTGTGGTCGATTATGCCGGTCCTTTTCTTCTTAAGGACAGGCGAGGACGTGGCTGCAAGACTTATAAGGGCTATGTATGCTTATTTGTATGTCTTAGCACAAAGGCCTTACACTTGGAACTTGTATCAGATCTTTCAACTCAAACTTTTTTGTCAGCCTTAAAACGTTTCATTTCTCGCAGGGGCAAACCCACTCAGCTGATGTCAGATAATGGATCAAATTTTACTGGTGCATTCAATAAACTCAATGCATTAAGTGAATTTTTACAATTAAATAAAGATAAAATTAAGGATGAATGCAATCATAATCAAATTTCCTGGAAATTTATTCCATCTTATACTCCTCACTTCGGTGGTATTTGGGAGTCAGGGGTCAAATCAATGAAATCACATATGAAAAAGTTTTCTCCAATTCTTTACTGACTTATGAAGATTTTCAAACAATTCTTGTTCAAATAGAAGGAATACTAAATTCTAGACCTCTTTCTCCTCTTTCCAATGATCCTTCCGATTTGAATCCGCTAACACCTTCTCACTTCTTAATTGGCCGATCAATCAACTCAATTTCTGAAGTCGACATATCCAATGAAAAGGAAACTCGTCTACAGTTACACGAAAGGCTCCAGTTCCTTCAGCAACATTTCTGGAAACTTTGGTCTTTAGGATATATTTCAGAACTTCAGCAGAGGCAGAAGTGGAAGGTGAATCGTTCAAATATAAAGATAAATACCTTAGTTCTCATCAAAGACCGGCAGCTACCATCCAAGAAATGGCTTCTTGGTCGAGTACGAGATCTTCACCCTGGAAATGATGGCATTACTAGGGTTGTGTCAGTGCAGACTTCCAATGGTGTTTTTCGGAGGGCAGTGTCAAATATATGTCCTCTTCCGGTTGAAACGGACAAATAATGTGAAAGTACATTTTTAAGTGAATTCTATTTTAGCTTATGTATATATATTTCACCTATGTATGTATATTTCACCTTATGTATGTATTTCTTTTTTGTTATAATGTAAATTGTTTTGAAAGTTACCCCTTTCAAGGTGGGGGGCATGTTTGAACTTCAAATTACACGCCAACTAGTAAAAAATTGGCACATTGTAAATGTCAAAATAAATAATGTCAGAATAAATTGTTCCTTTCAAGTTGACAAACACGTTTTTCATTCGGTCAAAGTTTTAATTAATTTATTCAAGTTTATTTCAACAAGAAGTTCATAACCAGCACAAATATACAGTCCAACCTTCATGGTTTCTTCTAATCCCTTCAGATACTACCCTTTCCCATGCATTTATTTTAGCAAATTTCATCTATATATTGTTCTAATTTATAGTTCCATAAAACTGGTTTCTCTTCAAAAGCAATTTACTTTAATACTTAATATTTAGCAAATTATTAAAAACAAACTAAAAACAAGGCAGCAGAAGTAGCTTGTGTGTACGCTTCAATTTAAAACGATACTCTGCCAAAAAAAGGCGTCCGGTAGCCGGCCTGGTGACGAAGGTGAAACACACATTGTCGACTAGTGAGCAACAAAAACTAGCCAGACACTACAAGTTTACCTTAAAGTTACTAGTCTGTAGTAGTTCATTTAAAACAATGCTTTACTGCAACTGAACACCCGTGCCGGACACCGGTGTCTGACACTAGTCGCTTCGTCTGAAAGGGTACTTACTTGGTAAGAAATGGATTGACGTCTGCAAAAGTTTTTTGAGTCTGCACGGTATTGGTAAAATAAGAATAAGAAGACTGCAAGATCTTTTATTGAAAGTTGAGTCTCCTATAGATCTAAGAGGCCAACAGATGAATCGAAAGATCATTCCACAAGATTATTTGGCTCTTAAAAAACCACATTCAGTCATTGCTACTAAAAACAAGTCACTCTTTTCCTAAGGAAATCAAATACTTAGAAGCTAAACTATACAAACAATAATGTTTACCCGTATGCACAAAAGTATAAAAGTCAAACGCTCAAAAGCTTCATAAACCGCAGTCCACACAATATCTTGAGGAATACACGATGCCGTGGCATCTTTGGAACCAGACATAATACTTGTACTTTTGGGCGACAATAAGAGCAAACGTTCACATAACTTAACAAGTAGCTCAAAACCGGTGATTTTTCTTATTTATCAAAGTGACAATTAATAAAATAACCGCAGTAACATAAAAATTATTTGCAACCTTTAAAAAAAAGTATGTTTTATTAGGAGTAAAAATGACTTTCGTGCCTAGGCTTCAGGTACAGCCTCGCCACAAGAAATATCATTTTTACTCCTAATAGAATAATACACTATTTTATTGTCATAATAATTATTATTAAAATAAAACTTAATACTTACATTATTAACATATGTATCAGGAAATACCAATTCTTTTGTTTCACAAGAATAAGAAGCAAAATCACTAGTGAATGAAACTAAAAAATTGACAAAAAGTAGCTGTTCTGAGTTTATAATTATATTTGGTTCTTTTACATCTAGTGCAGTTTTTATTTGTTCCTTAAACGCTTCCATGTTTTCTCCAATATTCCTTCTAAAACATAGAAATATAATAAACTAAAACATAGTTAAAAATATATTAGACTACGTACTGTGAAAAAGATTCAATAGTGGCTTCCATACAGGTTTTATAATGGTCATCAATTACTTCGGATTCATTGATCGATAGTTTATCGTTAGTATCAACATAAGAAAAAATGCTTTGTCTATTATCCCAGCCCATGTCATTGTCACTGGATTCAAGGAAACTAATTGATGCATAATCCATTTGTATGGGTATCTACAAAACATATATTTTTTAATAGAAAACTTTTTTTTCGGATTAAAAGAAGTATTTATTAAGGAAAAATGAGATAGGCCTGCTTATAATCATACGGAAAGACATTGTATTGCAAAAAATCCTAAAATGAAAACGTCGGATAGTAAAAATAAAAAGCAATCCAGCTTACGAAGAAGCTTGAGTTTTGAGTTTTAGAATCTAGATTGTGCAAAGTATTTGGATTAATCTAGATCAGGTGTTAAAGAAAGAAATTAAGAAATTTAAATTAAATGTAACATTTTTTACAGAAATAAAAAACAGAAAGGGACAAACAAGTTTGAAGACTTTGTTCATTACTGAAGTAGAAACAGACAGAAGAGCAAAAGCAGTTGTAAATATACTAATAGAAAAAATGATATTTAATACAAGTTTGATAAGTTTATAGGTACGAAGAAAAATGTCCCAGATTAATTTACATAATTTAACTTTCCGAATAATGCTGAATTTGTGCACATTATTTGAGCAAAACCAAACATTACTAAAGTCTGGCAAATATTAAATGAAACTATAAATTAAAAATCACGCGCTGCAAGTGGTCAAATGCAGCCGAAATCATGCGCTCTTCATGAATTCTACTAAGAAATTTTAAATTCGATCATTGGCGGCGCGTAAGAATGTGTTTCCTTGCAGTCACTTAACATTGTAACAGAAGAATATTATATTTCTACTTATAACATTAAAAACAATACATTATTAGATCTAAATTAATTACTATTAAACTGGGAATAAGCCACAATTAAAGATAAAAATACGTTTATTGACGTTTCAATTTCCACTTCGGAAATCGTTCTCAAAATACAAACAATAAATTAAACAAATTTTGTTTTTTGTTACATAGTGAAAAATTCTTCTAATAATTTAATTTTATCTGACTCATTTATATTGACAATTCAGACATACATTATGCATTTTAAAGTAGACGACTTTAAAATGATATTGCCAATATTGTTGAGTTGCGCTCCTGGGACGACTTTACTTATAAGATAGTTCATTCGATTACATGAAATCAACTTTAACTTGAGAATATCCGTCAGAAAAAATCATAGCATGTAATTCGTCTTTAAAAAGACAAACACATGACATGATGACAGTAAAATTCTCCTGTTAGTGATTCCATAGTAAATTATGAGGGAAAACCAGGAAAAAAACCTCATAATACTATCCCGACATTGTAAGTATTTGTTCGTAAATTTAGTTTACCTTCAACAAACATCAAAATTCTGATTTTATATGTTACGTTATTTAAAAAACATAAATGATGTATCCTCTATATGTTACTGACTTACTAATACTGGTATTTTCTTATTAATAACTTCCTCTTTCAATATTGGTAACCAGATCCTACTACATTCTGCCGAGGAATTTGCGACACAATTGGCCTCATTTAGCATAATTAGAGCCGCTTCTTTGATTTTTCGTTTTTTTACCATCCGTTTCTTTTAGGACTACATTTGAATTATTCCATTGAACCCTATGTTCATTATCCCAAGCGTGTTTACAGATTTGAGATCTATCAAATTCTTTATTTTTAATATAAGATTGATGTTCACTTATTCTAACATTTAATGGCCTTGATGATTCACCTAAATAAAACTGATCGCATTCACAAGGTATTTTATAAATGCAATTCTTTGTCCTTTCTTGTTCATTGTTAGGTTTGGTTTTGGACAAAATAGATCTCAACGTGTTTGTTGTTTTGAATGTTGTTGAAATGTTGAATTTATTTCCTATTCTTTTAAGTTTTTCTGATAGTCCTTTTATGTACGGTATTGTTATTTTCCTCATATTATTCCTTGTGTATGCTGTAGGATCTCGTTCTAAGTTGTTCTGTTCTATTCGATCGATTGTTGAAAATTCCTTATTTATAAACGATAAAGGATAATCATTTTTTAATAAAACAGATGTTAACAAATGTTTCTCCTCCAAGAACGAATTTTCATTAGAACAAGTAATTTTGGCTCTATCGTATAAGGATTTAATTATTCCTTTTTTTACAATAATATTGTGATTTGATTTGAAATTTAAATATCTATTGGTGTGTGTTGGTTTTCTATACACCTGAGTCTCATATCCAGTATCGTTCTTAGAGATTAAAACATCCAGGAAAGGTAGCGTGTTATTATATTCCTTATAAAACATAGGGTTCAATGGAATAATTCAAATGTAGTCCTAAAAGAAACGGATGGTAAAAAACGAAAAATCAAAGAAGCGGCTCTAATTATGCTAAATGAGGCCAATTGTGTCGCAAATTCCTCGGCAGAATGTAGTAGGATCTGGTTACCAATATTGAAAGAGGAAGTTATTAATAAGAAAATACCAGTATTAGTAAGTCAGTAACATATAGAGGATACATCATTTATGTTTTTTAAATAACGTAACATATAAAATCAGAATTTTGATGTTTGTTGAAGGTAAACTAAATTTACGAACAAATACTTACAATGTCGGGATAGTATTATGAGGTTTTTCCTGGTTTTTCCCTCATAATTTACTATGGAATCACTAACAGGAGAATTTTACTGTCATCATGTCATGTGTTTGTCTTTTTAAAGACGAATTACATGCTATGATTTTTTCTGACGGATATTCTCAAGTTAAAGTTGATTTCATGTAATCGAATGAACTATCTTATAAGTAAAGTCGTCCCAGGAGCGCAACTCAACAATATTGGCAATATCATTTTAAAGTCGTCTACTTTAAAATGCATAATGTATGTCTGAATTGTCAATATAAATGAGTCAGATAAAATTAAATTATTAGAAGAATTTTTTCACTATGTAACAAAAAACAAAATTTGTTTAATTTATTGTTTGTATTTTGAGAACGATTTCCGAAGTGGAAATTGAAACGTCAATAAACGTATTTTTATCTTTAATTGTGGCTTATTCCCAGTTTAATAGTAATTAATTTACAATGCCACAAGAAAATAGCTTCAGAACATTATTAGATCTAGTTTACAAAATAAGTTCTCATTCACATAAATAATGTTTCGACTGAGCGGATGAGCGGAAATCGACTAATATACCTACAGATGTAAAATACTCAAATTAGTATATTCTTTTTATTTCAGTACGATCTTCAATTATTTAGTCTATCAATAGAGCCCAAAAAATTTAAAAAATTGGTGCTTGAGAATTAGCAAATTTTAAATATTTTTGATGCTGTGATTTCAAAAAAGTCTAATTTTTTTTATAGTTTTTTTTAATCGACTGTATAATTTTAACTTTTAAGTAGCTCGGAAAGATATACACAAAGGCATCTGAAAATCACCAAGACAGACCTACAGTAACAATAATAGATTATGTTATTGTAGACTCTATTCCCTAATTGTAGAATATTCGCTTGCAATAAGATTCATCGCAACTAATAATATATTAATATAATACTCTTTCTTATAATGGTACTTACATTTAATAATTTTCACAGCTTAATATGTCTATTTAAGGGAGATTATCATTACTTTTACTATCACTGCTGTTGTTACCTCTTAAAGTAATCACTACGGGTTCGATTATAGTATCAACATGAACATCTAAATCCCACATTCCTTTTTCAACCTTCCGTACATGGAAAACAGCATTATGCCATACTAATGGCGTAACCTCATCAATAACAGTCTTTACCAGACACTTCACATCTTTAATTTTAAAAGTTACTTATGACGTGCCACATAACCCTTTGTTTGTGCCCAGAATTGGCATTAGTATATTAGCAGTGATATGGTGGAACAGTAACACCACGGGAACGAGTCATTTCATCCATTGCGTAATCGATATGATTAGGGCCATCTTGTTCGATTCTATCCTAACTGCATTCTCTAGTACGGAATATTTTTTTCCCGGAGCCATTTTCGCATTTCAGTCTTTGGCTCTTTGAAGTGGGAATTTGTTCACTATAGCGACTATGGTATGATGCATTGTCCATAACGATGACGCAGTTTTCTTCAACACGTTACAAAACATATTGAAACCACTGTTTGAAATGACCTGCATTCATGTTCTTATGTTAATCACCGGTATTTTTTGATAAAAACAATTAAACCACTGTCTTTCAGAAAGCCGCTGTCACTTCCAATATGGATCACTATGAGTCGTTGTCCTTTACCTGTCGGTCCTCGGAATCCTTAAGATAAAAAGCTTGCCCACTACTACACTTAAGTGCAAAACAATCGACTCAAAAGCGATATTTGAGATTACACCTTCTGTTTTAATGTAAGAAGTATAAAAATAACAAGATGTAATGTGCAAACAGTAACTTTGTTATTAAACTTACAAAAACTGCCATTTCATTATTTGGAAGACGCATTATAAAAACAATATGCAATAGGAACAGAGTTTCTCAAATATTCATCATTAGAACTATCTCAGAAAGACGTAATATACAGAGAAATCATCAATTACAAATATTTTTTTTTGTTTTTCAGTATCTGATATTACCACCCCTATTCCTAATTATACTTTCCAATCGATTTCGCATGGATCGGATGACTTTTCTAATAAATTCTTGAGGCATTGCTTCCCATTCATCATTAAGCGCAGCTCTCAATTCAATTATGCTACTTGTTACATGATTTCTACTCCGGCCCTTCGTTTAAGCTCATCCAAACATGCTCTATTGGATTTATGTCCGCACACAACGCAGGCCAATTTATTATAGGTATATCGATCTTAGTCAGATAGGTGTGGTGACTCGTGCGGTATGACATCGTGCATTATCTTGCAATAAAATAAAGGCATTACAATAAATCTCGCGTATGAAACCACATGTTTCTCCAAATATCTCTGATGTAACTATCCGCCGTTAAACCTCCTCCACGTCCTTCACCAGGCACGAAAACCAGCTCGGTTTTCCCATCCATGAAAATGCCTGCCCAACACATACAAGAACCGCCTCCATATAACACAATTTCTCGTATACAACATTGAGCAAATCGTTCCCCTGGCCTTCTATAGACTCGATGCCTCTTGTCGTTGCCATGTAGGCAGATCCTACTTTCGTCCGAGAATAATACCTGACTCTAGTCTTTCTCTAGTAGCTGCCCTTTTTGGTGTCAGGTTGGCTGCTTTCAGTCTTCTTCTGCCTGTCCAAACGCTGGT